AGCGCAAGGAGGGGGCGGAGCCCGCCGCGTGCCCGGAAGCGCTCGATTCCCCCCGCTGCCTTGACGTGGCGCGTGCGGAGGGCTAGGAGTGCACGGCCCAAGGGTGTCTCGTTGGTAGCTGTGTCCTTTCCCCCACCTAGACCCTCCCCGGCCGCCGCCGTGAGCTGCGCGAGGCAGAACGAGAGCGAGTCCGTGGGGGTTGGCTTCGCAGTCGCCATCTTGGCTCAGGCCTAAGGCTCCGCCCCCCTCCTCGCAGCTCATCCAAGGGAGCGGAACTGGAAGAGAGGGGCGTGGCCAGGCACCTCCTCTCTGACGCTTTTTAAATAGCGCCGCCGCAGTTATTATGCAAGTCGGAAGTTGTAGTTCGCGATCCCAGTTGTCTGACTTGAACAGTCGCAGAAGACACGTAGAGAGCAGTGGTTAATCGTTGTACGAGACAAAGAGGCGCGTGCGGTGCACGCTGGGCTGTGTAGTCCGCGCCAAGCTTAACACACCTAACTTAGGATGGATGGGAAACTCTCCCAGGGTATTCGGATGGGTCAGTGCCTCGGGGGAACCCAGACATCTGACCAGAGTCTCAGTACCGTCCCGTTCCAGGTGACTTGGCTAGTCCGCCCCCAGCGTGTCCTCGGCAGCGATAACCTTTTCCTGCAGGCTCTCTCTGCCGCCTCCCACGGGTGGCCGGGGCACCGAAGTCTGCGCTGACCGACTGAGAACCCCGAGCCAAGCGGAAAAAGTCAAGTTCCTAACAGTGGCTCCAAGTGGGAGCACTTGTTCCGTCAGGTGAATGAGAGGGTTAAACCTACCGAGACCGTTCGCTGCTATTTCCTAGACTGGCACGGGCTAGTGGACATTTCCGTTTCCGTTGCTGGATCCCTGGGTCCCAAGTGTCTCCAGCTCTGGTTGTGTTTATGAGTTAAGTAGCTGGTATCTAGAAAACGGGACTCTCTTCACCGCAATGGAGTCAGCGGCGCCAGAAGCTGCAAGGGAGAACTGCAAGGGGCAGAGCAGGGGGAGAACCGGACGTCAGGATCCCAGGGAGTCCTGGGGTCCCCCTTCAGTTGCGGAGTTGTTACACCCAATCGGCCCTTCTTGATATGGCCCGGGCAGCCGGCCGCTCGGGAAATGATGCTGGGCCTGCAGTACCTACGTAGGTCAGTCTCTGGCCCTGGGGAGGAAGAAGATCCTGCCAGGACCAACTGTCCTGCTGTCCCCAAAGCCTTCGAGTGCCGGGAATGTGGACTGACTGCAGCCTATCTCCCTGACCTCATTCACCACCAAAGCAGCCACGGAGGTGACAAGCCCTACTGCTGTCCAGAGTGTGGCAAAAACTTCCAACGTGGCTCAGATCTGGTTAAGCACCACCGGGTACATACTGGCGAGAAACCGTACCCCTGTCCCGAGTGTGGCCGTTGCTTCAGCCTGAACTCCAACCTCATCCAGCACCGTCGCTCCCACTCAGGCCTCCGGCCCCACGAGTGTCTAGAGTGCGGGGAGGCATTTGGCCGCAGCTCGGACCTGGTTAAACACCAACGGGTGCACACGGGTGAGAAACCTTATGCCTGTGCGGAGTGTGGTAAGACTTTCAGCGTTAGCTACAACCTGATCCAGCACCAGCGGACGCACACAGGCGAGAAGCCCTACCGCTGCGGGGAATGCGGCAAGAGCTTCAGCCTCAGCTCTAACCTGGCGCAGCACCAGCGCTCACACATGGGTGAGAAGCCCTATCTCTGTGCCTGGTGTGGTGACAGCTTTGGGCGTAGCTCTTACCTGCTCAAGCACCAGCGTTCGCACACAGGGGAGAAGCCCTACAGTTGCTGTGAGTGCGGCAAGAACTTCACCAACAGCTCGGACTGCCTACGGCACCAGCGCACCCACAATGGCGAGCGCCCCTTCAGGTGTCCTGAGTGTGGCCGTGGCTTTAGTGAGCGCACCCAGTTCACTGAGCACCAGCGTATCCACATGAGTGAACGGCCCTATGCCTGCCCAGAATGTGGCAAAACCTTCAACCACAGCTCCAAGCTCCTGAAACACCGGCGAGCGCACACAGGCGAGAAGCCCTATCAGTGTCCCAACTGCAGCAAGAGTTTTGTAGACAGTTCAAATCTGCTGCGGCACCAGCACACTCACACTGGCCAGAAGCTTTATGCTTGCAGCGAGTGTGGCAGGAGCTTCCGCCAGAGCTCCCACCTGCTCATCCACCAGGTGGCGCACAGCGGTGAGAAGCCCTATGTCGGCCTGCAGTGTGGCAAGGCCTTTGCCCGCAGCTCCAACCTGGGCCAGCACCAGCGGACACACCAGGGTGGCAGCCCATATCCCTGGCTTAAGTTTCAGCCCCAACTTCAGCCCTGACTTGGGTCCAGACCTCAAGAGGCCTGAGCAGACTAGCACTTCTCAGCAAACCGTGTTTCTGCTCCTCTAGGGTTGCTGGTTTGTGGGCTGAATCAGGGAACCCCAGGCTGGAGGAATCAGAACAGAAAATTGGACTTAGGCCTGGCCTGTGAGGCCCTGGAGACAGAAGGCCAGCTGGAGGGAGATTTTTTGGATGGCAAGTGCTATCCATCACTGGCGCAGCTGCTTCAAGATGCAGATACACCTTTGGCAGCTGCTGGCCAGATCCCTTCAAAGGCCTAGGGAGGGATGATGCTAATCACACCCAGAGCAACAACTACCTTGTCCCAGAGGAACAGGGCTGGACACCAGGAAAGCCCCCATGAGGAACGCAGTGGAGAAGGGAGCGGGGTCTGGGGGCCCTAACCTCCAGAGCAGACCCTAAGGAAGGCTGTGTTGTGGCAGAAGGACCAGGCAATTTGAATTTGGGACTATTATGTGAGCTCTGGGGTGTATGACCCCTTTGAAAGAGAACTCTTATAAAGAACGGGGTGAAACTGGTGGGGCCCTGGGCCAAAGCAAAGGACGAGGAGACCTGTCTGTTGATTTCAGGGGATGCTTTGTGCCATTTCTAGGCAGGGGCAAAAGGCCCGAGATTAGTCATCTACCCCTTCTTCTTCTTTAGCCTATTACCTTGCAGGTTCCCCGGGCTCTATCTCTGATCCCTCAACAGGAAAAATGGTGAAGATTCACTTGTGCCCAGACACTGGGGATTGGACATGGCCCTTTTGCCTGGGCCCTGCAGAGGGCTGCCTAAATAAACAAATGTGTTTCTGTTGGTAAAACTTAAGCGTATATGGAAGCCAGAGGGAGGCTTCCTTAAGCAATGCACAGTGTGTGCCCAGAGCCGAGTCTAAGCTGTGAGGCCCTTCTCTTTCCTCCTGGTAGCTTGCTTTGTTCCTGGGAGGGGCACAGACTGTAGCCTTTTTGAGGTTGGGGGAGGCCTACTGCCCACCCAGTGGAACCATGAACCCCATACATCTGGTGCCCTGTCCCACAGTCTTGCCTTTTATCAGGCTTGGTGCATCTAGAACTGTACCCACATAGAATAGGGGCTGAAGGGAAGTAACCCCTCTCTCAGCTTCTAACAGTGTCCAGGCTTCTCTCTTCCTATCTGTGTGACCTCGGACAGGTCTACCTCTTCTGAGCTTCAGTTTCTTCATCTGTAAAACAGGGATGATGATAGTTACCTCTCAGGATTGTGGCAAGGGATTCATGGGACCACCTACCTGAAACACCCGGGTCAAGGAAATGATTTGGTAAATGTCAGTTCCCCACTCTTCCTCAAGGCTCGAGCCCTTTCACTGGTGGCATCGGTCCGCAGGCACCACATGCTAGCACTTGCTAGCTTCTCCCAAAGGTTATAAAAATGAGGAAGACAGCCCCAGTCCCAGGGTAGCTTTGTGTCGCGAAGGAGAAGGACTCAGGACTGATGCTGGCAGTGGAGAAAGAGCACTTTCACCTGGAGCAAATATAAGAGGCTTCCTCAAGGTGACAGCTAATGGATGCCACTTGTCTCCTGAAGCTGGGAGCAACACATGCCCCAGGGCACGGGGTCCCTAAAGAAGGGAAAGCTTCTTGCATGTTCCCCATCAACGGCACTTCGTAGAGCACAAGTCAGGGCCAGAGTTGGAAGCCTGAGCCAGGCACATCCACAGTAGGCGCTCAATAAATAGTTGTTAAGATCAGGTCCTGTTTATACTCTTCCGAGTGGCCTTTGGGGCTCAGCTTCCTCAGGGGTGGATTGTATTCTCTGCAAAATCTCTACCTGCAGATGGATGTTAGGTACGTGGCAGAGGTGGGCGTGGGAGGAGGATTTGTTTGCACAATCCCTTTTAGTTACCTGGAAGCTAGTTTCTCATATTAAGAGGCGCTCTGAAAATACTAAGGCCTGGGACGGTTGAGAGGGAGGGGAACTCAGTAATACTGCCTCCCCTGGGCTGGCCCTTCTGCTTAGGTCAGGACATGAGCTTGGATTCCGTCCAGATCTGTCTCAGATCTCACCCAGTCTTGGGACTCAGGTTCCTCCTCTGAGCCTGGTGGGCGGTATAGAGGCAGGTGTCGCAGAGTGGGTGTGGCCACGGTCTGGCAGCTGGCAGTCCCGCCCACCCGGAAGCTCAACTGTGACGACTTCGGTGCTTTTTGGGGAAGGGTGCTGGGGATGCTGGAGCAGCACCTCCCGGTCCAAGTCAGATTCCCTCCCTCCTCCCGTCCCTCGACATTCACCAGGAGGACAGGGATTCTGCATTGTCTTTATTTAAATGGTCGATATTTTGTTCATTACGCATTTTTTTACATTCATTTTGATTTTTGAAATACCGCATTACAATGTTGTTTATCTTGATTACTGAGTTTGGAGGCGCCCCGTGAAATTCTGTACCACAATTCAGCGCCTCACTCGCCTTCGCCTCACTCTAATCCCGCCTGGCCTTGCGACCCAGCCAGCCTCTTGAACCTTGCCACCCAGCGCCATCCAGCCCCGGCCGCTCGCCACTGCCCTCTGCCCCTAGGGGGCGCGAAGTTCCGGCCTCCAGCGCGTCCTGTGCACCCTCTGCGCACAGGGAGGAGAGAGCGGCTCGGGGGCGGGGTCGACGCGTCCGCGTGAGCGCGGCTCAAAAATCGCTGGGCTGGGGCAACTGGGTGACCCCTGGCCAAGGTGTCCTGGCCTGGCGTGGTCCCGTGGTCCCGAAAACCTCATGCTTGAGAAGAGACCGCCTCTAGCCATTCCTCTCATGTTCTAGTTAGGGACTGGGATGGGGTTCCTATGCAGCGCTCTGTGGTGTGCTCACTGCTCTTACCGTTTCGGCCCTTCTTGGGAAGGCTAGGGGACGGGGGCGCGTTTTCTGGGGAGGTGAGAAGCTAACTGGGCGGCCGGGGGTGGAGCGTCCCCTGCCAGAGGCTGGGTAAGGATGCTTGAGACCCTCCACATCCGGGTCTCCGGGGCTTCGGGGGCAGGGGTCAACGCACTTCCCGCTCCCAGGACCCCCTGCGGGAGACTACATTTCCCAGCAGGCCCCTCGGAGGCTGCCGGCCGCGGACCGGCAGTGGCGCCCCTCTCGGAACAGGACGTGGAGCAGAGAAAAAGTGGGGAAAAAATGTTACTCTATGAGAATTTCAGACGGCAGAGAAGTGCTTCATAGCATCACCCATGGAGTTTCCAGACTTGCTACCCCAGCCCTTGATTCCTTGTTCTCCCCTAGCACAGCACCTCCAACTCAAGTCCCGCCAGGTACCACATCCTATTCGCCTACTTTAGAAAGTTTTCTCAACTCTGTCTTCCCTCTGTTGCCAGTTCTACTGCCTTAAGTGCAAGTCCTTGCCATCATCTGCCTAGATTATTGCAGTAGACTCCTTTTCAGTCTTCTCTGCTTCCAGCCTCTGCATTCTGGTTCATCGTACATATAATCCATCAGTGACAGTACTCGCTTAAACCCCAGACTCCAACATTGAATCTGATGTCACTCCCCTGCTTAAAAGCATCTGTGCCCACCCTAACCCCCCAACATGGCTTACAGAAGAGAGTTCAAATGCTTCAACGTGACCTACATGTCTTCTCAGTCTGGCTCTGCCCTACCTCTGCAGCTTTACTGGCCACAGCCTTTCACACCTCTGTTTTTGTACTTAACTTTATTTCCAACTGCCCAGAATGCCCTTCCCCCTTTTCTGTTACCTAAACTTGTCCTACTTATTATGTGAGCCCCCAAAGCCTTCCCACAGTCCCCTGTCACACCTGGGGTGGTAACTGCTACAGCGTCATTGAGAACCGTCGCGAATGCCGGGTCACATGTCTGACTTCCCCGTAGATGGAGCTCCATAAGGGCAGAGACTCTGGCCTAGTGCCTGACTCACCGTAGGCGCTCAGTAAATATTAACTGAATCAAGGAACCACTTCTGGTTTGTCAGAGTTTTTTTTTTTTTTTTTTTTTTAATGCTAAGACTCAGGTTTCTTTCATCCTTGTCCTCCCAAGATACAACGCGACACACTTGGGAAGTTAACCAAAGTGACCACGAAGCTGACCACACCCAATCGAAGTCTTCCTGGTCATTTTACTTGCCAGTCAATGAGATCATGGTTATGTCTATAGTGGTAACAGAGAAAAGCAACTAAAGACAATGCTGTTTACTTGGATCCAGTGCACTTCACCGGAAGTGGTTCCTTGCATTGTAAGGATGAGATTATCACAAATTGCAAGGATGGTCTCATCAAATTTTCAGCATCATCAGTGATAGTACAGAAGGGCCTTCAAGTGTATTGTCAATAATCAGCATTTGCAGTGGCAAAATAGTGGTTTAGAAAATATCTGAGATTAATAAGTCATCATTTTAAGGCCTCTTTACATACTAGTTGGTCTAGTGAACACAGCACTTGGATGTGAGATGTAGGGCTCATATGGGAGCAGCAATTTCAAACTCTGGCAGGTGGTCTAGCCACAGTCTGGCCTTGAGTTACACCAGCCACAAAGCCAACTAAGCACAAGTGTGCCTGGCTCAGCTAAAGTCTTCTGTGTCCCCAGCATTAGATACGTATTTCAGATAAATCAGGTAACAGCATATAGATTTATTTTGATGAATAACACTGTACTATTATGAAATGGAAGAAGAAAATAAAAATACAAAGACTCAACCTATTAAATCCTTAGCAAGTTGGACTATATCTCAATGTATGATTTATTTGACTTAACTCCATTTTAACAAATATCAGAGCCCTTCACTTCAAGTGCCCATTAAGTTTAATTCATTGAAGTCATACATCCTCCAGAATGTTCATTAAAGACATTTATAACATATCTACAAAAGAAGGCAAAAAAGTTTCAATAAAATGTGGATCACAGTACAGGGGAACAGAGTAGGAAATGTGTTGGTAAAAGTTTAGAGATATGCTATCTTTTCACTAGAAACATTTAGCACACAATGAAGACTCAAAACCCCCTCTCATACTGGCTTTTTGTTATTTCATGGAACTGAAAAGTCTAAGAGTACAAATCTTTCTCAATTCTGGTACATCTTGATCGGGGTGGGGGTTCAAATAATATTAACAAGGCTAGATCTCTCCCAATCTTTCAAGTCTGCTCTAAAAATGGCTTCAATATTGGCTTTCATCTAAGGCTCCAGTTGAACTCTTAAGTCCAGTTGAAGTACTACTGTGTCTCAACAGCTCCAGAAAGAAGTCCCCAAATTGAGACTCATGGACCTGTGCCCCTCCCAAACCAATCACTATGGCCACGAGAACGGAGTGCTCTGATTGGCTAGGCCTGGGTCAGGTGGCCCCGCTTAGAGTTGGAGGAGGGAGTCAACCCCACCTGAACTGTGAACAGAAAATGGTGGTGGTAGGGCTGGTGGTGGTAATTTCACAAAGAAAACCCAGAAAGTTATTACCAGAAGAAGAAGACATAGGTATGATGAGCAGATGACACAGAAAGACAGATGTCTGTTATAATAAACTTCTAGTCCCTTCCAGTGTCAGAGGAAGCTAACAGCCCCTCTTTAGACCCTATTATCCCATAGAATGAGCTACTGGTGGGCTCTACCCTGATTCTGTCTTACCTCAAATTCCCTTTACTGTTCATTGTAACTAACCCATGTCTTGTATTATCACTAAATTGTCTTTTGGGACAATTCCATTTCAAATATTTGGTCTTAGGGCCTCCACAAACAAAGTTTATATTTAGTAAATCACATATTGGATTGATCGTTGCTTTGGAAAATATGATCATGGTCATGGTCATGGCGTCCCAGGAAACAGGCACGAGAGAGACCTCCATGCAGTCATCCCTCCACACCCTTCAACACCAACAGCAGAGGAATGTCTGAAGGGGGGCTGGGATGCTGCCCACTCGGGTTTATTTAACAGCTGGTGAACTTGTTCTTCCCTCTGCCTGCAGCAAAGAAAAACCTAAACTTCTAGAAACTGGAAGGTTTGGCAGCAGCTCAATTAATTATGTGAGAGAGAACTTATGAAACAGTAGTGGGTATAAAGACAGCAGGAGCTGGCTCTGCACTGCCTCTTACACAGAGGCAGTTAAGACAAAAACCACCATCAGCCTAGAAAAGCACAGACTCCCTGTATAGAAGTCTCTGGGTACTTGGGCAGGTGTGCCACAAGGGGGCGACAGCAGCAGAGGATGCTAGCAGCCCTCAGGCCACTGACCAAGTACCAGCCAGAAAAACTCTTAGTGGGAACTTCCAAGCTGAGACCTGGGAAAGAGAGTTCTCAGGGAATTGTTTGGCAATGACCATCAAAGCTCTGAGCGGAGAGAGGGGTGCTTAGAACCTTTTCACGTAAAAATACCCTTCTTCATTTCTGTTTTCTCCTAGAGTCATATCGTAAGTTGGGAGGGAGCTGGAGGGGGCTGTGTGTGGACAGAGAAGTTCAAGTAACTTTAACTGGAATAAGGCCCCATCTTCTCAGCAGCAGTTCCAAAGTCCAGCTAGGAAAAAGCAACTATAGGAGAGATTCCATCATAGATCAGTGAGGGTGCAGGAATAATTTAGCAGCACTACATAACATTTGATTGTTCAACAAGGTTCCTAAAAAAAAATGCCCACAAAAAGGTAAAAAAAAAAAAAGCCCTCCCCCACAAAAGAACCAGTTTAGAATTACCAGGAAGAACAGGTCTGGAGTCCCTTCTTGAAAATATACCTTCCTCATTTTTCTTTCATATATTTAGATTAGGTACATAAAACTTATTTTTCTTTTATATATTTAATTCAGATCAGGTGTATCAGCTCTTGATCAAAACTGGAGGCATCTTGTTGGACAGTAGTTCTGAAAAGGCATTTCCATAGAGTTATCCAAAGTAACATGGTTCAAACATTCATTAAATACATATATTTAGAGCACCCACTTCATGCCAAGTTCAGTGCCGGTGCTGAGGACAGAACCACGAACACCGCAGATGTCAGCCCTGCCCTGTCTTGCAGATTTCTAAAACCCTGATTTCTAGAGCCTCTGAGGTTCATACGGGCCTGCCTGTGTGTTCTTCCTCTTCCTCCAAGTAGTCAGGTTTTTTCCAGACTGAAATAACATACTTAGCAGTAGACAGTTGTCAAATTTGTGGCTGTCCAGCACCTTGGAAATACTCATCCTATACTGGGGGATTTTCTCCAAGATACAATTCCCACCTCCTGAAGGCAAAACTCAATTTCTCAATCTTTAAAATGATTTTTTTTTAAGTAGGGGTGCTGGGGATTGAACCCAGGACCTCGTGCAAGGTAAGCATGCGCTCCACCACTGAGCTGTACCCAGCCCATTCCAACCTTTCTTGAAGCCAGGGCACAGGCAATGATGTCGGTGTTGCTGATTGGCGCCCTCTTAATTCTTTGATTCATAAGAGAACAACTCAAAGATGCAAGTTTCACGAAGAATCCATTTTCAAGAGGGGGTGAGGGTGGAAGAATCTGGCTTTTGAGGCAATAAAATTATTTTAAGGCAGGACAAGAAAAATTTTAAGCAGAAAATTCTCTGCCCATTTGAGGCACCACCCCTTCCCTTTAGTGTGCATTGTGAATCTGCATTATCCATTAACTTTAGATCCCCTTAGAAGAACAGGAATGCCTGCTTGCCAAAAAAACAAAAGAGAACAAAAAGGCAATTTTCTCCTAGCACCAGCAAAGTAATTCCTTGGGAGATAACACTCCTTTCCCAATACTGTAACAGGTCACAATAACTCAATATATGCATTGTTGGACTATGTAAATTGTCAATATGTTATTCTGATGTATAACCCTTTGTCTCAAACACTTATAATAACTGCCTTGACCTTTAGAAACGTCCTCAGAGCTTTCTGTAAGACTGTCTCCCCAGTTATTTTTTTATTTTTATCTTTTAAATTGACTTACAGTCGATTTACGATGTGCTAGTTTCCAGTGTACAGCATAGTGACACAACTACATACATATATTCCTTTTCATATTCTTTTTCATTATAGGGTATTACAAGATATTGAATACAGTTCCCTGTGCTATACAGCCAGACCCCACTGTTTATCTATCTTATGCACAGCAGCTAGTATCTGCAAATCCCAAACTTCCAATTTACCCCTCCTCTCTTCCCACCCCCTCCCCCGGCAACCATAAGTTTATATTCTATGCGAGTCCGTTTCTGCCTTTTAAACAGGTTCATTGGTGTCATCTTTTAAGATTCCACATATAAGTGATATCATATGGTATTTGTCTTTCTCTTTCTGGCTTACTTTGCTTAGTATGAGCATCTCTAGGTCCATCCAGCTGCTACAAATACTGTCTCCCTGGTTACAATCCTCAGGTTGGCTCGAATCAAGTTTTCCTCTTCTTTCTTAGACTGACTATTAATTAAATTTTTGATGACACTTTCCAGGGCAGCACTGATGAAGTTTCTGGCATCCAGTGTCCAGCACTGTGAACTGTGGTGGTGTCTCCCTGCAGCTGGCCCACAGAACGGTTTGTTTCTGGCGGTGCAGATGGTAGTCCTCTCGGGCTAGACCAGAGATATTGCTACCTTAGGTTCCCAACTGCTTATCTTTTAAAAACTAGTCAAAGCGAATTCTGCTCTTTGCAAAGAATTGTTACTAATACATATACTGAGCTCCAGTTATGTGCCAGACTCTAACCTGGCACATTCCTATATTACTTCACTTAAACTTCATAAAGATCATTTAAGGTACAATTTATTATATATTTTACACATTTAAAAAAAACCCTGAAATTCAAAAGGACACGATTCATTCTGCAAATATTTAGTAAAGACCTAGCCACTGGGAATAGAGTATTGAACAAAATAGTTCTCTGAAACTATATATATGTGTACAATATTGTATTTTAAATGTCCCTTTACTTTGGTAAGAGGCACAGTACAGCAGCTGTCTGGAGAGAAGGATCTCCTGCCTGTCAGGCCTCATTTTAAATATAGAAACCCCCTAAAAATAGCGACTCATGTTACAGACTCAACAGGTGATTGGCCCAAAGAGAGGAGAGGGGAGCCTAGGCCTCAGTGAAGGAGACTGAAAGGACAGTGCCGTTGTCCCCAGCTTCTCCCACCGAAATGGCTTTGCCTCTGAGGTCCTTGAGTCGGGGCTTGGCCAGTGCGGCCAAGGGAGACCACGGAGGGGCCGGAGGTGAGTGCAGCCGGAGCCTGACCCCTTGGGTTCCTGGCCTTGTCCATCTGTCCCCCAACTCCCACCTCTGGGCCCTTTCAGGGCCCTGGCAACACCCCCACCGGTGACCCTCCCTCGCGCCCCAGTCCACCTCTCTCTCTCACCCGGGCCTGTCCCCTGCTGCAGCCCGCACCTGGCGCCTCCTGACCTTCATGCTGGCGCTCCCGAGCGTGGCCCTCTGCACACTCAACTCCTGGCTCCACTCGGGCCGCCACACGCGCCCGGAGTTCATCCCCTACCACCATCTCCGGATCCGCACCAAGGTACACTGGCCCCAGAGGGCGCGAGTGGGCAGAGGGGCGAGGGGATGCGGGGGCCCCCCAGGCTGACTCCTCGCTCTCCCTCCTTCTCTCCACAGCCCTTCTCCTGGGGAGACGGCAACCACACTCTTTTCCACAATCCCCGGGTCAACCCTCTGCCCACGGGCTATGAGCAGCCCTGAGACCTTGGCTGATGCCCTCAGACAATAAAAGTGTGGAAGCTGTGTGTCCGCAGGCTCCTTGGGGCTCGCACCGGGAGACTGCGGGGCGGGTAGGGCGTCGATGGCTCTCTCCGGGAGCATGCACACGGCGCAGTGGACGCTCCACCTGCTCTTCCTGAGGCCCTGACTTGCGAGGGACTTGGGGAACATCCTTGATGAACAGGTATGAGATGGTCGCTCCTCTCTCACCTATTAATAATTAGGGCTCTCGGCTGTAAAGAGCTTTCAGATACACAGCATACTCACAGTAACTGTGGGAGCACAATATAATTGTGGTTGCCCCTTCTCTAGGGGAGGAATTTGAGATTCTCAGAGATTAATGACTTAAGCTCAGGCAGCTCATCAGAGGCCCCGTGGGGACTCAGGGCTGCAGACCCTGAAGTACCACTTTTCGCCTGACACACATAGAGGGCATCTGTGGATTCCAGCTATCTGGAAACAACCCTGATTTCAAACATAGATTCTACAGCCAGCCCTATATGGGAGGCTTCGTGACCCAATTCTGGATGTGGAATGTTTCGATCATTCTCTGTGACCACCTTTAATGGGTCTTCTGTATTAGCTGGGGGAACAGATGTTTCCTTTCTGGAAGTCTGGTTCTCCTAGCTTCTGGGGACACCATTCAAGGGGGATGTTGGTTCAAGCAAACTCTGGACATTTCATTCACCTTCTAGGACAGTCAGCTCACTTGCCATTACCTGGGAGCCTGAAGCCTGAGCTGAAACCCATGACCAGCACAGACAGAGAGAGCTTCTTTTGGCCTCCTCTCCTGACATTACTCACAGCACCATTAGGAAAAAATACTCACACTCCCCAGTCACCCGAGAAAGTGAGAGAACATTTTCTTTACCGACGAGCAGGTCCACCTGCCCCTAACTCTTACTAGACCAGCATTCAGGTCTCTGGATTAGAGCTCTTTCATACAAGGAACCTGTTACAAACATCTTCGTTTAATGCCACAGTTCTTACACAAATGAGAATTCATGCTGACATCATGCCTGCTTCTATAATGTGGGTCATCCTTGAAGAATTCTGGCAGGTATATAAAAATATGAAAATCTTTCAACACCTTGGGAAGATGACTTAGTACCTGGTAAGTTGTTCAGGCCAGTCCAGATCTGTGCAGAAATTATTGCCATGGAAATAGATTTGTAGGTTAAGACAAGATCAACCAATAGGGGTAGAGATAAGTGGGAAAAGTAGATTATTAGGACAAAGGCTAATTGGGAGCCTCACAGGTGAAATCCTCCCCACTCAATGTGGCAGCGTCTTCAGACTTGTCACCCATCATTTCTTCGTACTCACGTATGAAGAAGCCACACTATGAGGAGAAATAAATCAGAAAATCTGGATAGGAGGGCAGGGCAGGAAGTTGAGAGTAGGGAAAAGCTGAGACAGAAGAAAGGAACTAAGCTGACTTGTATTTGTGGGCCAGAACGCTTATGTGAGCAACAGCTCTCGTGTGCTGAGCACCTACTGTGTGCCAAGTTCAGTAGTTATACACATAATCCGAAGCAGAAAAGCGCAGATTCTGCATCCTTTGGCCTCTTGTCTGTCTCATTCCAGCCACTCTGTGATGTAAGCATTATTAGCATTTCAAAAATGAGGAAACAGGCCCAGAGAAGTAGAGCAAGCTGCCTGACATTAAACAGTGAGTGAGAGTCAAAATGTGTACCCAGAACTGCCTGACTTCGTTGTCTGAGTTCTTCCTGCTGTACCATCCTGTCTGTGGGACGGCTGGGGTCGGATGCTGTTGGTGTCAAGGGGGTGATGAAAACACTCACCCTGTACAGGACGGCTGTGATGAGAGCCAGCAGCAGCAGTCCCCCCATAGAGCTGCTCACGATGAGGGGGACAGGATCATAGAGCTCATACTCTTCTAGCACTGTCACCATCTGATCGGGGGATCAGAAAGTATCAGGCTTCTTGCCGTTCCAGGCTCTTCCCAGGTCCCCAGCCTTTACCTCCCTCCCCTCCTTCACCAGGCTCTGCTCCAAGGGCTGAGATACAGAAGCACTCATAGGCTTAGGGACAACTGTCCTACCCAGGGACCTCCATCCTTCCTCCCTCCAGGCTTGCAAGCCCCGGACCCAGCACCACAGATTCAGCATCAGGAGCCCTCTTGCCAGTCTGGCCACTGCCCACCATACAGTCACTACCTGGGCTCTCAAAAAGGCCTCCTGTCCTGAAATCTGGGAATATATGGATCTGTTGAATGTGATTTCAGCCACACTCATGACCAGTATTTCCTTCTGCAACATCTGTTAAAAAGGAGAGAGCTGGGAACTAGCTCTGGGGAAGGCTCAGGGTTAGAAAATGCCCTGCCTTCGGGTGGGCACAGACATATGAGCCCCCACTGGAGTCGGGGAAGGGACTCTGCTGTTGGGCCTCCACACCTGGCTGACCCAGCCAAGGCTGAGTTTGCCCTTCAAGATGAAGTCAAGTTCCTCCGGGACACCGAAGGAGGGGATGTCACAGTGGAACCTCAGGCAGTCGACAATGGAGCAGTCCTAGGGTCAGGAGAGGAGTGAAGCTGAGCAGGGTCTTCACTTAAGAAGAGACCATGGGAGAAAATAAAGTGGGTCAGATATGGGGTGGGGAATAGATGAACAATTACAGGTCGTAAACATAGTGCTGCAACCTAGCAGTACATTCGCCTATGTCTCCCAACGTATAGCTGGTCCTGCAGTGGGAGTCCATGGCCTTGCTCACCAGCACAAGGCTCCCTGGAGTCTGGGTCTGGAAGTCAGGATGCTGGGGAGGTTCCCTCTCTGACACACAGGGGAGCCTCTAGGGAGGGAGAGCAATAGCCGCAGAATGATCAACAGTTCACTGGCAAGAGGGTACGAGGCACTGTGAGATCAGACCCTGGAGAGTGAGGAAAGGCAGATGGGCACCTGCGAAGGGGCCACCACAGCCACGTCCCACACAGCCACACTGTTCAGCAGGACAGGGATCCAGAAATGAATGCTGAGGGCGAGATCTGGCTGACCCAGGTTATTCACCTGCAGGAAATGGAGACAACATTACTGTTGTCCTTGAAGCATCCCAAATCCTACCCCTTCTCTGGCTCTCGCCCTCCACTCCTCTCCATCTTCCCCTACTGGCTTCCTCCATTAGCAGCGCCGTGGGAGGGACAGACGTGAGTATTCCCTGGCCTCTCACACGATATTGATGCTCAGCTTCTTTTCTGCTTTTCTCATCAGAAGCTGAAAAATTGAAGTATTTGGTGGAATATTCCTGCCTGTAGAGACAGGGAGGGCTTGTTGGTGAAAAACAGCCCTGGGACCATCCTCAGTTGCACCCCAGCCTCCTGCTAGCTCTGTTGGGCCCAGCAGATGACCGGGGGGAACAATGACTGTCCCCACGTACCTGTACAGCCTCCCCTCCATGGCCTTTGCCCTGGTCACCCAGAACTGCTAGCTTGTCCTTTGATACCCCTGCTCTTTCCTATCCCCATGACTTTGCTCAAGCTTTTTTTTTTTTTCCTGCTTAGAATGTTCTTGCCTGCTCATCCCTCTAGAAAGTTTCACTTAAAGGCCCAACTTGAACATCACCTCTCATAATATCAAAACATTTCCCAATGGATAAAGGTGTTCCCATTGCTTTCTCTAGTAGGTACAATGTTGGTCTCCTGTAATGCTTGCAGAGGCAGCTGCCAGAACAAATTAGCCTGAGGGGACCTCAGGGAACCATGGCCTGGATCACTCGGTAAAAGATGGAGTGCTAGTCCTTCCATGATGGGGAGAAACTGATGTGCTATCCTGGGGCAGTTAAGTAAATGTAAAAGAGGAAAGATGGTGCATTGAGTCCATGGGTGAGCATAAAATCTCCAGACTGCTGGTGGCTTTCCATCCATACATCCATCCATCCATCCATCCATGGATTCCTTCAGTAAACATTTACCATGTGCCAGGCTGTGTGCTTGTTTCTGGAGAGTCAACAGTTAACAAGCCATGATCCCTGCCATCCCAGAGCTTAACATCTAAGAGCTCAGTGGAATCAGGCAAGCAAGGAGAGTGACTAGCAAGTAGAAGCCAGGCCAGCCCTACAGGAACTCCATGGGCCCCCTTGGTTTTCCCACAGATGTGACTGTCAGCTTGATGATTAAGAACATAGACCCTGGAGCCAGACCACCTGGGTTCACATCTCCCTACCTGAGTAACCTAAGGCAAATTCCTTAACCTTTCTGGACCCCTGTAGTTTTTTCCTCTTTAAAAGGGGGATGCTAATAATAGTGCAACAGACTGGCGATGAGGCTTGTAGTGGTGCCATAAATATTAAAATCTACTTTTTCCCCCTTAGGATGCTAACTTTCCTTTCTGCTTCCCATCCCACCCCCTTCTCTCTCTCTGCTTCAGTTTTATCACCTAAAACTCTTCTAGTTCTAAACCTCTTTTCAAATTTGAGTAGACCACTCAGCTTCTCCAGTCCTTGGAGAGGCATGTATAATATGGCCCTTGGGCACAGCTCTGGACCCAGACCATCTGGGTTTGATTCCTGGTTCTGCTGCTTACCAGCTGAATGACAGGGCTAAGTTATTTAACCTGTGGATTTCTTTGCTGGCAAAAAGGGGTATAATAATAACTATATCACAGAGTTAACAGAAGGGTTAAATGAATGTAAATGCATATAAAGTACATAAAACAATGCCTGGCATATCGTTAAGTATATGTAACTGTGAGCTCTTATGATAAGTTTCAGCGTTTCCCATGGATAGAAGGGGAAATTCACACACACAGTTTGGAAGGGCAATGACACCACTTGACCCCCCACGTAGTTCCCCTAAAAATTGGCACATCAGCGGCAACAGCAGCAAACTCCGTCCCACAACTATATGATAAGCTTCTGACCAACTCTAAAAGCTCTGGACTTTAGCCAGGTATGTGGGGCCCCTTGTCCTGCTCCCAGCCTGGCCCGCCCCCACTCCCTCACCCACCTTCAGAACCCAGAGCAGCAGCCCTACACTTGCCTTTCCTGCCTTGACCTTGGTTTCTTAAAGGCCCTCCCAACAATTTCTCACATCTCTGCTCTCCTCTGAGTTTTATGAAAACCTGACCTTTTCTTTGCTCTGTGTGGTGACAGACCATATCCTGTTGGGCACAGACTCCCCACCTCTGAGTACTCAGAAAAGCTTCAGTCTTCATTGAGTAGCTTCGATTCAGCACATCTGTGTTTAGCCCAAAGGACAGAATTGGCTTCATGCTAAAGGAAGCCTGCATCTTGGAGAGAGAGGAGGGAATGTGCATGGTGGCAAGGCGTATGTGTCCCATCACCAGGCCAATTCATCAGAGAAGAAGCAAGAATGATGGAATATGCTATTATGGTATAAATATATGGCTGTCACAAGAAGTCCCATGTGAGGAGTCAGGGCAGCTAGCTTAGATACCCATCTTCAAAAGAGCAGGCTGGCCTGCAAGGGGAGGAACTAGGATTGGAGGAAGGTCCGGGGGAGGGCCAGGGATTAAGTACCTGCTGATCACCGTGTAGACAGCGTATTTCACTGGGAGCTCCAGCTGGAAGTTAGACTTGCTGGATGCAGGCTTATTATTTTCACTGGAGAGAGGTAGGGGGGTGGTTCCTGGTTGGGAAGGAATCCAGGAGAGGAGTCTCCAGCTAGGGCATGAGATGGGAGGGTGGGAGATGCACCATACCTGGCCTGGGTTCACCTGCTTGCATTGGCTGTCAAAAGCAACTTGTCTCCCAGGGTGGCCTTGTAGGAGACATCAAATGTGACCATGAAGGTGCCCTGAGGGAAGAAGAAAGGGATGGGGATAGGGAAGGCCATGGGGGAGTGAGGGAAGGAAATGGGTCAGGACAGGGGAGAAGAGTCATGAGAAGTTGGGGGGAAGCTCTGACTTTAGTGCCCTCTTGGAAGATGGGATGGTTAATGCTACAGCCGCTGCTACTCAAGCCCTCGTCCCCAGTGGACACTGCCTCACATGCCAGGTGCAGGGGCCGCTGATGGGGTTGCTTCCAGAGGAGGAGAATTAAAAAAAACTTACCCACATGCATATATGGGTTTGATATATAAAAGTGGTGACATTGCAGAGCAGTGAGTGAAATGACAGATTTTTTTCAGTAAATAGTCCTGGGAAAATTGGCCCATACAAAACAAACAAACAAACAAACAAACAAGCATTGGATCCTCACCTCACTCCATACATTAGAATAAATCTCCACTGGATTAAAGACTTAAATGTGAAGAGACAAAACTATCAATCTTTTAGAAGAGATAATATAGCAGAATATCTTTATAACCTTGGACTAGAGAAGTATTTCTTAAACAAGATAAACACACAAAACACTAAATACAAAGGGAAAGTTAGATAAAAAGCAACCACAATCAAATTAAGACAGTCTGTTTATTAAAAGACAGTACAAAGAGACTAAAAAGACAAGCGACCAAGCAGCAGGATTGGAAAAGATATTGGAACATATATAATTGGGAAAGAACTAGTAACCAGAATATGTAAAGAGCTCTTACAACTGAATAAGAAAAAGAAGAAAAAGACTTGGTGCTCAAGAATGGTCATGGCCAAAATCAGAAACAACTCAAATGACCACTGATTGTCAAGTGAGTAAATAAATTGTGGTATCATCATACAAAGGGATTCTATATAGCAGTGAAATGTTCCATAGCTATAGACCACAACATTGATGGATTTCACTAGCATAATATTGAAGAAAAGAAGAAAGACACAAAATAACATATAACATTGTTATCACTTATATTTGGAATCTAAAAAATAAACAAATGAGTATTACAAAATAGAAGCAAACTCACAGATGTAGAGAACAGGCTGGTGGTCACTACTGAGGAGAGGAATGGGAAGGGCAAGATGGGGGTAAGGGGTTAAGAGGTACAAACTACTATGTATAAAATAAGTAAGATATAAGGATATATTGTCCCGCACAGGAAATATAGCCAATATTTTATAATAATTTTAAATGGAGTATAATTTATAAAAATATTGAATCATTAATGTACACCTGATATACTTTAATTTTTAATTTCAGGGAAAAAAGAAACTTACAACATGTTTCCATTCCTTTAAAGTTCAAATAGTGGCAAAATCCAACAGTATTGTCTAGGAAAGTATTTATGGGTGGTAAAATGATAAAGAAATACAAAGATTTGATTATCACAAAGTTAGAATAGTGATGAACTTTGGGGAGAGTGTGAGGTTATGATGAGGAAGGCACATAGTGAAAGGGCTTCTGGAGGTGTTAGCAGTGCTTTAGTTTTTAAAACGTTTTGTGAGGGAGGTATTTATCTTTATTTTTACTTATTTATTTTTTTAATGGAGGTACTGGGGATTGAACCCAGGGCCTCATGCATGCTGAGCACACACTCTTATCACTGAGCTATACCCTCTGCCCAGTGCTTTATTTCTTGACCTGGATTTTAATTGCATAGACTTTGCTTAATATTATTCGTAAAGCTATACACATGCCTTATGCACTTCTGTGCATGTGTTTATATTTCATCATAGAAGAATTAAAAGGAATCTACTATAACCCAGGACAGGGCAGAGGTCCCAGCCACTAGAGCCCAAGGGAGCTGTTTACCTGGATTCTTAACACTTGTCGGTAGGACAGCCCTGCTGGATAGTGGAAGCTGATCACAGTTCTGTAGGAATCCTTGCCCTCATTCCACACATTCACTGTCACATTGAGGTCCAGGGAGCTCCCCACCACCAGGGTCTGCAGGCTGAAGGAGGAAGGACAAGGCCAGGAGAGAGACTCCATTGGAAGTAGGTTGGACCTGAGTCACGGGCAGGGGCAGGGCTGTGAGAACTCATGAGCTATGGGCTGATAACCTTCCAATCAAAAACATTTCTTTGTTGGAAAGTGAGCCAAAGGGAAACGTAAGGACTTCTCATCCTAGGAGGATGGGAGACCCAAATGCTTGGCTGTCTGGCTATGAAAGGAGATAGAGCTCACCCTGAGAAGCTGAGGCTGATGCTCAGGTCCCCTTCACAGAGGTAATCTTGCCCACAGTTCTCCCCAAAAGGGAGCTGCAGCAAAACAGTATATTCTCATCCCATCCGTCTTAATCCATCTCCATCCCCTCACTGTGAGCACTCATCCCATTGAGTATTACTGAGCACCACCTGCACCTAGCACCAGGCTAGATACTGGTGAGGAGTAGGGCAATGGGAGAGGGGCAGCTAGACTATGAAAAGGAGATAGGACAAGATCCTTGGTTTCAAGGAACATAAAGTTTAGTTGAGGAGTCAAATCCAACTCACATTGGACCAACTAGTCAACAAACATTATGAAGTATCAGTAACGAAACAGGTTCTGGGTTGGGTGGAGGGTGAGGAAAGGTGGGAACCATAGGTGAATTAGACACAGTTCTTGCACTCAAGGAACCTGCAGTTCCAAGAGAGCCACAGGAGTAGAAGTAGAGTGCCACGGTCCAGTCATGTGATATTTGGCATGAAATCACCGTGACGCAGTAAGAAGCCAGGGAAGAAGTGACAGATGCTGAGTGTGGTCTTCAAAAGAGAGGGAGGTAAAGACTGTGGCTCCTGGGGATGGGAGGAGATCTTTGAGGTGGAGAGAAGAAAATGTTTTCCAAGTAAGAGGTATGACATGGACAAAGGCACAGAGGTAGAAATGAGAAAAGTTGGGAAGAATCTGCAGAATGAGATCCAGAGAGTTTATGCTGGAATAAAGTGGATACTCAGCTGGGATGTGTGGAGGGGTCCAAGCTAAGCAGGACTGTGGTAACTGGGGGGACGTATTTTAGATTTGATGTGGTTGTTGGGCCGCTGGGAGCCACTGTAAGTTCTTAAGCACAGGGAGCCACTGTGAAAGTCAACACATCCCTGGGACTTCACTGGAAGACTTACAGAAGCAGTGAAGAGGTCCTGTGAGCCCATGGCCAGTACAGGGCGAAGGTTCTGAGATGAGGGGATGGGCTCCCCAACCAGGGAGAAGTTGAGTCGCAGGATGATGGGGTTCACCATGTCTTCCACACAGCCCTGGGGGAGAAAGGGCTTTCAAGACCCACAATCTTCCTCCTTACTTGCTACCACTATGGCTTCTCTTCCACTGCATACACTCCCCACTGTCCAGTGCCCCATTCAAGCTGTGGAGCCAGGTTCCCTGGTCCCAAGTTTCCCCTCCAGCCCGAGCCTCTCCACCATTCCCACCTCAGTCGGCAGGGAGGCTAGCCTTGGGCTCCTTCCCCTCATCTCCCTTTCCAGGAACCCAAAGTCCTCACTGGTGAAAACAGCTTCAGGGTTTCACAGTTATCCCCCAGCCGCAGGATTTTTCTTCAAGTCAAAGTCCAGTTCTTGGTCTCATCAAAAATGGCACGAGGAATCAGACGGCCTGGATCCAATGCCAGATCGTACTTGACAGAGCTTTGGACGTCACCTGAAGCACAAGGGGGAATGGAAGCCGGAAAGTTAAATAAGAGAAACTCGGACTTCTGTTTCCATTTATTCATGCAATGAAGATTTGTTGAGTGCTCTCTTTGGGCCAGGAACTGGACCAGGTGCCAGGGATGCATGTGGAGAAGACAGAGAAACATGGTCCCTGCCCCAGTGAAGCTCACGGTCTAGAAACGGAGATGGACATGTGGGACATAACATCCCAGCGTGATCCGTGCCAGGGCGGGATTCTCTGTGGTACTGGGGGGCCTTGCTAACTCAGACTGCGGGTCAGAGACGTCTTTCTGGAAGGGCCTGTCTCAGCTCTGACCTGGAGGATGAGCAGGAGTCGAGTGAAGAGTGGGGTGGAGAAAATTCCAGACTGTGGGAACAGCAGCTAAGACCAGAAGGAACAGAGAGGCTGGCACATGAATTCAAAAGTGTCTGGAGTAAGTAGGAGTGAGATGAGGTGAGGCTGGAGGGGCAGAGAGGGGCTAAATCAGCAGGGGCACTGCAAAGGAGAACTGTGGTCTTTATCAGTGCAAGAGGGGGCACGTGAGGGATGTTTAGGACCAGTCTGTGGGGGGTTGGGGGTGGAGGCTACGTGGACACAGCTCCAAGTGTAGGTAGGAAGGAGAAGGCATCCTCAAGGAAGGCAGTAGCTGGGGCTGGTGGAGAGAAGTGGGCAGACTTCACATGTATCCTGGAGACAGAACCTGGAGGCCGAGGTGTGGGCAGAGGCAGAGAGAAGGGCAGCTGGTTGGATGGGAGGTCAGATTTGGATCCCTGGGCCCATTCTGTCCAGACCTCTAGCAGGCGGGGGGCGGGGGGCATGTCTGGGTCTACCGGAAGGAAACTCACCTAGCTGATCCTGTGAGCTTTCATGGATAGTGAGACAGACTCTGATGTCCCCAGTTTCCAGGGTGTCGGGCACATCTTCCCAGCACTGGTACACAGCTTTTGCCACTTCCGGGGGTGTGAATGTCATAGCTACCTCCACATTCAGCACCGGCAGGCTCCTGAGGGTACACACAGGGGCTGAGGACAGGCCTCTGGCCTCTAGGAGGAGAATGGGGGAGGGGACAGCTTGGTGAATTAGACACATGGTAGACAAGGGAGAAGTTGTCACCTGAACAGCAGCACGTGTCCCCGGGCCCCCACGGCCAGGTCCACCAGTCCATCCTGAGTGATGTCCTGACACCCACTCAGTGACTGCCCGAAATACTGAAGCCTGGGGGGAGAGCTGGGAGCCTGCAATCCACTGGCCAGAGAGAAAGGAGGAGGGGAAGTCAAAGAAAGGGGATTGGAGGTTTGAGAAGACCTTAGTTGGGAAGGACACTGAATGGAGAAGTTGAAAAGGAGAGAGGAGAGAGGAGAAGTGGAGAGCAGGGTCCCAAGACGGAGAGGGGAGCACTTGTGGTCCAACAAGGACCATGAGGGTGCAGGCTAATGACAACACCAGTGCACAACAATAGGCTCATCACAGATTCATTCACTCCTCCTTTGTTCCTTCTTAACTATGTGAGGAATGCAGTGCTTAGCGCTCTCACTGAGTTATCTTTACAAGAAGCCAGTGGAATTCGTTCATCCTTTAATGTTTCATAGGAGGAAACTAAGGCTCACAGAGGCTAAATCAGTCACTTGCCTAAGCCCACGCAGCTAACAGGGCTGGCTAGGCATTTGACCTGGGGCCCTGATCTCTTGACTACTAAGCTGCTCAAAGGGGAATGGTCACCAATAAGGCCGGTGACCGGAGGCAGCATCAGGCGAATCTAAGACGTGGGAAAGAAGGTGGAACAGGAGAAAGAGGCAGAAGACAGGGGGGCCTCACCTGGCTGTGGGAGGGGCTGATGCTCAGTCCTGAGGTTCCATGAAACAGGTAGATGGCACCCCGGTTCTCCTGCTCTCCCGGGGCCCCGATGGCCACGTCCATCAG